GGGTCCTCTGGTGGTTCGGTGGTGAGGGGTCCTCTGGTGGTTCGGTGGTGAGGGGTCCTCTGGTGGTTCAGTGGTAAGGGGCTCTCTGGTGGTTCGGTGGTGAGGAGTTAAACAGCCCCCTCAGAGGCCCATGCCGTGAACCCACAGCTGTGCCACGAGAGGAAGATGGGAAATCTCCCGTTCAATTCACTGCCTCTAAAAAGTCCTGGAAGGTTAGCTGTGGGGTGGCTCCAACTCAAAGGCAATAGCAACAACAACAATGATATTTTTCTTATCCAGTCTGAATTTAGAATTCGTTATTAAAATTATCAAATTCAATATTAAGTTATAAACTTGTAAAGTACTATATAATGTATCTTGTCTAATTTTTCACTACATGCAGGAACATTTTCACAACAGGTAAGAGCCTATTTCATATGTAAATATGGTTCTGGAAGCTTCATAGCAAACACTGTTTCTACTACTTGTCCCTCTATCATTTTGCTGTCCACGCCAGCACCATACTGCAGGATGTGCAGCAATGTTTCATTCATTGCAGCATATTACCGACTACCTGAAAATTAAAAACGAGCAAATAAGTCTGCTGTATGAGCATTTTATGAATTTTAATCAAGTATTACATAGATTAGATATAATAGTTACATCTCCTATCTTTCAAGGTCAGCAATACAATTATGATAAAATGTTTTGTCTCTGTAAGTATCTTAAGGCAATTTTAGGGACCCCTTACATCTTAATACTAAAAGTTGTCTGTTATAAATATTATATATAAATGTTGTTATTACAACAATTCTAGATATTATCGATCAGAGAAACTCCTCTAGGAACAACGCAATGTAAGCAGTTTGCATCCCCCAGCTACTCCGCAGGAGGAAGGAGGGCAGTCTCCCAGCATTTATTACAGCCTCTGAAAACCTGCTGAACGCTCAGCTCCGGGTTGGTTCCAACTTGACGGTACACAGCATTATAAACAGATGTGCTCCTTAGAAGTAAGGTAAACAATCTAAGCACACTTCTTTTGGACATATTTTCAGGAGGAACCGGTTCTTCGTTCCTCCAGAGATACAATGATGGGAAAGGTCGAGGGTCAGCAAGAGAGAAGACACTCAAGCTGGGTCAGCACAGCGCCCGTACCGATGAGCGGGAGACCATCAGTGATCCCGCACACGCGCAGGACAGGACACACGTCAGGCACGGTGCTCACGGGTCACTGTGAGTCACAGCTGACCCATCGCCACCGTCACCTGACAACAACAGTAAATAAGAAGATCTGGAGGCAGAGTCCACAGCGAGTCAGACTAACTGAAAAGCCACATCCTCGAGTGATTCAGATCTCGTTCCAAGGAAGAAAGATAGGAAATCTCCTCCCATTCAACGTACAGCCTCACAAACCCCGCGGAGGGCGAGCTTCGAGCTGATTTAAACTCAACAGCAATGAACATATTACTATCAATATATTCTCTTTAATTAATTAATTAATTTCCTGCGTACAAGGATAAGGGATCTACTTCTGTCTATCATGTCTTTTTCCTATATAAAAGGATGCAACATTTTAATATTAAATTACAAAGATCTACACATTCCTAGAATTTCTCATCAGATGATTTAACTTCAGTATTTTTATGTTCTCATCTGTCTTTCACATTAATCTCTATGGCATGAGGATTATTATTCACGATAATATGACCTTAAAAAGTTAAGAGTCAAAAACGGGATTTCTGTATCTCAACTTGTCCAGATAGGAAAGAAAACTTGCTTCAACCAAACTATTGTTTTCAGTAAGACAGAAGAACAACAAAACCAAAAGCCCTTTATTTCAGAGCCCTCTGGAAGAGAACCTATGAGAAGCACTGCATACAGCAAGACCCAAACGATCCACTAAACGAGAGCCGGAGAAGCTGTCAGGGCATAACGCCAGGGCCTCAGAAGTCAACTTCGAAGTAGAGCAGTTTCCCTAAACACACACAAAACGAAGGCTCTCAACGCATTCTTTCATAAAAAATCCTCACTGTAAATGGAGAGGTTTAGTGGGCACGCATCTCTATACCTTCTAAACTGTCATTACAAGGCTGCCACGGACTTACAGCATCTGCTTGACAAATGGTGTTGGCTATGTGTCGACACAACGTCCGGAGCCAGCTCTCCTTGGGAAGCTCCTCCGAGGTCATCTGGAAGCTCAGCAGGACATTTGCCTGCTCTGTCGGGGGTCTCACCAGCAAGGCAAAAGCATCATGGCAATCTAGGTTCCAGAAGAGTCACAAACAGGACATGTTACGCCTTCAAAAATGGGAGATTAGTCTAAGTTGAACTCCCCCAAGGAACAAAATTCTAAGGACATTATCTCTTCTCTTTCCTCTTTCCAATTAGACTAAGTATTTCAATATATTAAGATAAAGCATTAGAAAAAGTCCTAACAAAAAAAAAAGAAAAAGAAAAAGTCCTAACAGTATATAATGTAAAAAAAACTGACAATAATTTAATGACACTGAATCAGTAATATTTCCCATGGTATTTATTTCTTTTAATGATGGCATTTATATCACTTACAGCTCTAAAGCTCAATGCTTTAAATTGTTATAAAAATAACTCAAAACTCAGCCTTTAAGAAATATCTAAACACAAAAACTCTGTAATAGTAAATTTGTCAGATGCTAAAATAAAAGCTGTTTTAACAATGAATAAAGTCTTTAATAGCTGAAATTTAAATAAATGGAAATTATTTTAACAAGTGCACTTCTGTAACCCTTAATAAATCTAAGATTTACTTGACAAACAAGTGACAAGCAATACAAACTGCTGTTCCAGTTTTAGAAGTATTGCTTAAGAACTCGAAACACCACCATTAAAGAAAAGATCCACAATGGAGCCAACATCCATTCTAGAAACACACACCTAATTCACAGAATTGGGCCATGCACATACGTCATTAAGTGCTAATTAAACCGATGACAATGGATTGGTTGTATAAATGTTTAGGTGTTTCGGGCATTCAGGGACACCTCTCTCTGTAACAGCACTGAAGCTGTAAGTCCTATAATTCCGTTTTCATCGGTGTACATTTAGCCTCATGTCCAATGTACCCCAGTTGCTCCGGGTCCACTTATTTAATGGACACCTATTCTAGTCCACCTTCTAAATCTATCTCTAACAGTCCAGCCCATGGAAAATAGAGAAGGTATAACACATGGAGGTCAGGTAAAAGGCTGGAGATTTCTTTTGTATTTTTTCTTTTAATTTACATTGATTTGCTTATAAAGTTCATAGGCACTGTGTTTCACACTACTCTTCATTCCCATTGGGTTTCATACCATCATTCCTATGCGTTATGCTTTACAAAATTAACCTTTATTCGACCTTGCTTTGATTGGAGAACGAACCAAGGCAACTATTTAAAAGAATTTAGTCTCGAAAGGAAACAAGTTTTACATAGACTGAGCCAGCATCTCCATTTTAAAATCTAAAATTCAAGTCTGCTTTTCTTAGAAAAGGTTGAGACAGATATGCAAGAACAATTTCTTTGCCAAAAGGATCAAATATATTTAAAGATCCATTTGAAAAAGAAGACAAAACAAAGGGAAGAACCAAAGCCATAATGAGTAACAAGAGTTTCTCAATCAGCCTACCTTCTGTCTCTCTCAGGTCCAGGACCTTCTTAATTTGAGAAAGAGGCATTAGACGCACATGCTTATGAGAAGTTGGGGGACGGTTCTGGCCGTGAGGACTCCGAAAAGTGCCAATAACCTTGTGTCGTTTCCTTGCTATCTAATTAGAGAAAGAAGAAAAAAATACTAATGCTTAATATGACTAAAACTAAGGACCACATTCCTAAAAATAAAATGGTGCCAATTGCATAAGGTTATGTGTAGCTCATCTGACAATTATTCATTTCAAGGCTATTATGCGATAAGAAGTAGATATAAAATGCAACAAAGTGCCACGTATAATTGTCTACCAGATATGCTCATGATATTAAAAGCACTGAAAGCGAGGACAACTAGCAGCCTAAAGAAAACACATCCAGAGGTGTGAAAGGCTGGAAGGTAAGTGAGGAGCAAGAGAAAAAGGAGGGAATCTTAAACTAACACCCTTGAGCTCAAAGAAAAGGAAGAACTTTGCTATCAGTCTTGAATACGAAAGAGAGCAGAGTTCAGTTTATGTACACAATTCATGCCTTGCTATGCAAGGCACTGAGGGGACAAAACAAATATGACAGAAACGATTCTTTCATAAGCTTTACATACTATTGGAAAAAAACCCTGAAAAATAATAAAATAGCAAATGAATTTAAAAATGAGAACTTCGAGGTACTGTTAGGATAAAGTAAGAATTCATAAGAGTTGAGTAAACCAAAGCTAAAAACAACAAAATCAGAAAAGATCTATTAAACATGATTTCCTTAGGGTAGTTTTCTATAACTTTTATGAGGTCTTTAAAATAAAAGCTCAGTGTCATGGATTCATGTGCCAAAATCCATGGGTCAACTGTGCTGGGCCACTGATTCTAGAATATGTCCCACATGATCTGCCAATCGATGTTAAGGTGACTACAGTGGGCGGCAACACAAGTCTAAACTCTGGCTACAGCTCCGATTTTATGGTACACAGGGGCTCACTGTTTCAGTCACTAGAGAAAAAGGTCCACAGGCTTTTAAGAGCCAAGGACCTGAAAGTCAGCAGGGAGACAGCACTTCCCTTGAACTGACCCCTAAATGCAGACCTCAAACGTCTGAACTGTGAGAGAATACATTTTTGTTTGTTAAAGGCACTGACTTTCGACATTTCTGCTACAGAAGCACTAGGTAATGACGATAATCAATACTGGCATTTTTAAAAAAAGACCTTTTTTGCAGTGACAGTCAATTTAAAAATGTATAAACAAAAACCCCATTTAGTTAGGTACTTAATAAATTAAGAAAAATTGGTTATCATCATGACCGTGACAAAGCACTTCTGAAAAGCATACCCCCCCTTAGCCAAATCCATTACATCGAGCTGATTCCAACTCAGCAACTTGGGTTTCCAAAGCTGTAACGTTCATGGAAGCTGAATGTCACGTATTTCTCTTGTAGGCTGAGTCTGAAACGCCAATCTTTTGGTTAACAGCCTAATGTTTAACAATTGTGCCATGTGGGCTAGTACCATATTTATGTTGGAGCAGAAATATTCCACGCATCTATACTTTGATGTTTCAAATATTAAAATTTTACTCTTATTTATATAGAAATGTTGTTGCTGTTGTGTAGCACAGAGTGAGCACCGGCCCATAGCTGACGCTCTGGTGGGTTTTCAGAGACAGTTAATCACACGGGAGGAAACTGCCCATCCTTCCCCCAGAGAAGCTGGTGGCCTTGAACCATGTGCCTCTGGAATGCAGCACAGCTTCTTGCCACTAGGCCACCAGAGCTCCCTAATACAGTAAAATAAATCATAAACAATCACTAACTTTCTATTGTCATTAATCTGACTGAATGATATCGTGAAATAACTGTAATGCTCAATTTTAAAAATAAAACCTACTATGGTTTTATTTACAGTAAAAAGAGTAATACGGTAATATGGAGTACATAAATGTTAAGAAATGATAGCAAAATAATCAAAGTAATATAAGAAAATTACTTTCTTAAATTCAAAATTAGTTTCAATAAAGCATTACTCATTGTATTCAGGAAAAATTAATCTGGATTTTTATCAACTTTGATTATCTCTAGTTTTTCACCAATGAGAATGCCTGCTAAGTTTCTATGAGCCAGAGAAGTACTTAAACTCTTATTTCAAAATTTGCTAAGATTGTTTAATTTGTTTTTAGACAAACATGTTAGGAAACAGAGTCTAAGATTATAGACCATTAAGTCCAAATTCAATATGTGTTTCGGTTGATGTGATTCTGAGACTGGGTGACTGAGACAATGAGACAAAAAGTTACAGAGTAAAACATCACTGAGTGGCATAAATTCACACTCTGCTGGTACCCAAAGCGGAGGGGAAAGCACCCAGATACATCACAGCAGAAACAGAGCTGATGCTGTGCTTGGCTTCTATCAAGATGACAGCTGGGGAAACCCAAGAGAGCGATTCTAGCTGTAATACAAGGAATCTCCTAAATTACAAAACAAAAAGTTACCACAATCAGGAAAATAAGGGAAATTTGTGGTTAACATTCCACATTGAACGTGGGAGTAGAGAAGATGACTGGTAGCTGAAGTAACGTCAATTACTAAACGACTGAGAACTACGGAGACACAGATCAAAAGTAGCAAGGAAGCACCAACACTGTCCAGATTAAGAGGCCAAAACGTAGACTGGATTAATATGAAAACAGACACGCTCTGGCAGCCTCGTGGTAAGGAGCTAGACCGCCAACCCAAAAACATGTGCAGGAGCAAGATGCAATCTCCACCCGTGCAATGCACAGCCTTGGAAACCCGGCCAGCGAGGCAGCCACAGGGAATTCCACAACAGCTCGCAGCAACAACCCACAGATAACGAAAATACAGACACATGGGGTCTGCTGACAGTGGGAACCTTAAAATGCAATAAAAGCAAGTCAAATTCTGAGAAATTACATAATGGTAAAACTCCACGGTAACATAATCCAGATAAAGCATGATTAAAAGCGGCCTCTCGTGCTCATCAAGCACAAGGCAGCTAAGGGTTCTTACTAAGAGCAGGCGGTTCACAATTATTTGCCTCGTGGTGTTTTGTTACTTTCCTCACTCAGTTATGGCCAAATTATATACAATTAGTATCCGTACATTAGCACTTTCTGTGGAATTACTGATAAGTATAAAAATTTCCATTAACTTAAGCATTAGAAACTTTGCATTTGCTTCAAAGTTACTATTTATGAGACTGTATTGTACCAGGAGTTGGTCTACATATGACTTGTTCCCTTTAGATCCTCTTGTATTTGTACTTTAAATAATAATGTACATGACATACGAAGGACTGCACTTCCAGAAAAGTGAAAAAGAGGAAAAGATTAAGAATTTAAAGGAAACTATCATGTTGGTAAAGGCAATAGAACGTGACTCAACAGAATTGTCAAACAAGTCTTGTTAACCTCTATTGTATTAAATCACCATTTCCCCCTGTAAGATGAAAAAAAACACACACCTTTATACACCTTTATATCTCTTATTAGTTCATGTTGTTTAAATAAGATACACTAGTCAAAGAATGCAGAGTGTTGAAAAAGCAAACAAAATTTATCTTCAAGAGTTATAAGGGGGGAAAAACTAGTATAAATGAGAATTTTAGAATTACGATTCACTGAGGAGTATACTCAACACTCATGCTAAAACTCTACTGATTTAAGAAAAAGTCAGGGAAATAAAGAAATTCACAGTCTCAGGTGATCACGTTGTCTCCCACTAGAGTAAAGCAGCTTCACCCTTGCTGGGAAAAATCCACCTAAATTCTATTAAGACCATCACAAATTATTGTATAAATGTTCTACACGCACAATATCCCAAGTTTTATTTATCTACAGCGCAGGAGGGGAAGACCCTCTATGACATGGATTGATTCAGTGACTGGGGTAATCGGAATGGGTGTGTCGGAGGCGGTGCGACTGGCACAGGATAGAACAGGGTTTAGGGCTGTTGTGCATAAGGTCGCTATGAGTCGCAAACGACTCGACGACACATAACAACAACAACCACCTATTTATTGGCATGGCAATAAACTAACTTTCATTACAACTTGGATTTAAGCCACAAAAATTTACATTGATTAACATTAAGCCTTCTCCTAAAAGATCTATTCATAGTATTGAATGAAAATTGGTCTCAATTTTCAAAAATGTGATTACTTATTTTAAACTTTCCTTTCAATTAAGGTTTGATTTTAAATAGTCAAGAAGTCACAAAAAATCAGAAGTGTTATCACATTAAGTGCAAATTTACCTCTAGACAGTCATTGAAGAGAAAGAGAGTCACTTGCTCTCCTCTGTCACAAGGGTACTCGCCCAAAAAAACTGTTTCAACTCGCTGGACTAAGCTTCGGTGAGAAGATAACAAATTAGCCTGCACAGATTGAGAAAAGGAGTAAGAGATCACTTAATATTAAGTAGTAAAACAAAGTTAGAACTTAAAAAACAGGGGGTGACAAGATTCTATGTATATGAAAACCATAGAAAATTCCAATAATAAGAAAATTAACTAACAACAAATTTTTAGTTAGAAAAAAATACTTACTGGGCAGCCATCTACTTCATAAAATACATCAAAAATTTGCTTCCGAGCGTCTGTTTTTCTCTTATCTTCATTAATGTGCCTGAAATATGAAACATTACCAAGTCATACACTATACATTTTATTAAAATGAGAACAGATTACTACTTTCAGATAAGGTAGAATAAAAGAAAACTTACCCTCCTCCCTAAAACAAGTAATAAAACAGTCAAGTTATGACAGAAAGCCCTTCAAGGTAGGAAACAAGGTGATCTTTACCACTGCCCTAGTTTTTGCCTGACAGGAAGGTTTCTTAATGCACACATGGCGTTAAGTCTAGAGAGGAAAGATGGTGTGCATGAGGAGGGTGGGATCCCAGGAGGGAATGCCCAGGACCTGCAGGACACCCCACTGCACGTTCAGTGGAGACCTGGGTGAAGGGGAACATGAAAGGGGGCTGGGTTGGGGGAGGACAGGTGGTGGATGGGAATCTCACAGAGGAGACAGAAAATAACAAGGCAAAACATCAAAACCCTCATTGCTCAGAGGTAATTCGAATTGCATCTCCATGCCTCAACCTCTATTCAGCAGCTAAAGACAGGACCAAGGTTTAAGAAACACCTTAAAACATCGGAATCAACAGCGTTCTAGCAGTTATGCAGCACTGAACAGTTTGTTGCAATGAATCCGTAAAAAATGTTATGATTTATGGAGCATTAAACAGAATACTAAAAAGGGTCATGAAACAACAGTGAAGGAAATTAACCCTAGATAAACGCTGTTCAGATTTTAACAAAGCTTAAAACAAGACATGGGAAGATCAAAATGGTTGTAACATTTATGTATGCCAGAGAGTTCAAAATTATGCAAAAAATACAAAAATATCTAATACTCAACAAAGCTAAATAAGTAATGCCTAGAATTCAAGAAAATATTACCTACCATGCAAAAGACTGAAACGTATATCCTGTACAGAGAAGGAGGGGAAAGTGAAGCAATGGAAATGGAAACAGAAATGGCACCGATGATAAATCAGCAGACAAAGGCATTGTAAGTTTTTTCTAAGAATGCTTGGATGATAAAAACTGTTGACTGTCAGATTTAATCCACCCAGGAAGGCTCGGTGGTCTACTACTCCTGAATTATGACAATAATAATCACCACCAAGGGAAATCCTATCTACTGAAGCACAGGTGTTACCATTAGTCATAACTAAAGAGCAACAGATGAAACTAAGTTCAAAAGCCAGAAAAAAGTTAGAGGCATACAAGATTTTTTTAAAAAAGAATTAAATCAAACTTTTAGCCAAAATATGATCAATTAAAAAAAAAAATCCACTGGGCTAGTCATTGTAGAAGAAAAGATTAGTGGAACTGAAAGACAACAATAAAAACCAAACTGCTGACAGGGGGGAAAAAACCAAAACTACTTAGCATCACTGGGCTGAGGGTAAATGTCAAAAAGAAAAAGAAAAAATATTATATATATAAAGAGAAAAAATATTTTCTTCTATGATATTTTTAAAGCTTAAAATAATGGCACAGAAATTAAATCTGAAGGAGCTCTGGTGGCCTAGTAGTTGCACCGCAATCCCAAAGGTGCATAGTTCAAATCCACCAGATGCTCTGCTGGAGAAGGAGGGGCACTCTCCTCCTATACCAGTGGGAACCGATTAAATGGTACACAACATGAAAAGGAGAAAAAAATTAAATCTGAAAATTGACTTGAATTGTTATACTTTAGAGTTGGTAATGAAATGTTTCCTATCTAATATCAAGGAAAAAACTATTGAGTGAATAAGTATCAGCTGAGTAAATATTTGAGAAAATTTGAGTACAAAACAAAAAATTAAACTTTCACTTTAGAACATTTATTTTTATCCTGTGCCAATCTCATTGTCTCAAACACATCTACCCCCATTTCCCCAGTCACTGAATCAATCCACCTCATCGAGGGCCTTCCTCTCCTGCGCTGTCCCTCCACCCTCCCAAGCATGACGTCCCTTCTCCAAGGACTGGTCCCCTCGGTCCCTCTTTGAAACAAGTTCAAAGTATGTCAGACGAAGCTCCAGAATCCTTGCCTCCAAGGAGCAGCCTGACTTCACCTTCTCTAGGATGAACCTCTTTGTTCTCCTAGCAGTCCACAGTATATTCAATACTCTTCTCCAGCACCACAGCTCAAAGGCATCAATTCTCCTATCATTTCTAATCCTTTCCCAGCTTTCTGATGCATAGCACATAATTGCAAAGACTACAGATGGCCTGGATCAGGCGCACCTTAGTTTTCAGAAAGGAAATTAAGTAACTTGCATATATAACCTTTGTGGCTACAACAAAAAGGGCATCAGCTAATCTGAACATTATTCTAGTAAGAGATTTCATATAGCTAGAATTTAAAGTACCCAAAAGTTCTTCTGTAAATATTTTAAAAAACTCTATTCACAAAGAACATCCGGACCCTCAGATACCATTTCACTATTAAGTACAAAGGCTTTATTTAGTAAGATGCCTTCAACGAGGCAAAAAGGTTTTAATTTTGATCATAATAGCCAAAAAAAAAGTTTTTTGTCAGAGCTTCATCTGAAAATTGGACCTATGGAAGCCTGATATCAATCTACCCAAAAGCAATTTCATTGAGCAGTACTTTTAATGTATTTCAGACTAATCTTATCAACTTAAGTCCATGATATTAAGATAGAAAATCAAAAGTTTATAAAAAAGAAAGTGCTGCAAGGCTTTTCTTTTAACCTTATTTTACCATGGCCAAGTTCTAAAATTATATTTGAGCAAATCCTCTGACACCAAGTTAATTCTGGCTTATGGTGGGCATCTCTCAGGGTTTGGAGGCTACATAAATCTCTCCCGGCAAACACGGCCCATGTTTCCGGGTTAGAGCAACTGTAAGATTTGACAGGCTGAGCGTTAGGTGAGCAGCACAGCACAGAACGCACCAAGCCACACACAAGTGTGAAGAGGCCTTCCACATCCAGCCAGTACACTTGGCTCGGTCTATCAAAACAAGCTAGGACTGAACTATGTGAAGAAAATAACATTAGATTACCTTTAACATTTTCAAGTTTAAACTACTGTTCTTCTCTGTCAGTACAATACATTCAAAGATACATGTGTTTCTGATTAATCAATTAATTAATAATCTTATAACTATTCCATCAATTTGGCTCTGGTCTTTATAAACTGTAAGAAAAATAAAATAATGCACTTACGTCATTACTTCTTTTAGTGATCCAATAGCTTTTTCTAGAATGTTTTTGTCAGGATTTTCATCAGTAGTGTGCTTCTTAAGATCTACAGTGACAAAATGTTTTTCTTAGGGTTAAAAAATTGCAGTGTGTTTCCATCTAAGACTTTAAAATGCTACCTATCTTGATACATAAGCTGTTTTCTTAAAAATAATCTTTTTAATTTAAAAAAATTTTAAGCAACGTTGTCTTAGGAGAAGAGTTACTGTATTTTTTTAATTGACTAAATTGTCAGAGTACATAACACAAGGTTTCCCATACTAAGTTCTCAATTCTAGTAAAGGTTGGAGCTCCCGGTGCTGAACAAGTACACGATGCTTTTACCTCAGAAACCATTATATGCATTAAGTTTCATGTTGGGGCCCACACTATAACTCAGGACTGGTACGTGATGTCATTAAAGGCAGGCTCTGCTTAGGTTTGAGGCTCATGAGTCTCAGTCTCTTACATTCTTACTGATTTTCAATCTTTTAAAAAAATGTTCATTTTTGTTATGACAGCCTGAATCTCTAAGAATATTTAATAAAGCAACTGTGATGATAGTCTAGATCACAAAACATACACTGGAACCTCAAAGGTTTGTTCACATAGTAATTTTATCATCTGTTAAAAGGGTAGGAAATTATTAGCTAATAATTCTCAACTAATGAGATAACTCTAGCAAGAAAAAAATGATCTGTTTTAGCATAATATACTAAATATTTTAAGGAAAATAAATAAAGTATCAAATTTAGCTTTTTCGTCTACAGCAGGTACTATTAGAGTTGGGACTTAGGCATTAAAACACTTCATTACAAATTTATTTGTTTGTAGCTTACTTTCCAGACTCAATTTAAAATAATGAAATAAAAACTTGACACGCTCTAAAAGTATTCATTAATATTGTTCATGAAATATGACTCTTTTTCAAACTAGAATCAAAATCTATTCATAAAAATTAACTGATAGTACACTTCTTTCTTTCTACTTACATCTAGAGTTTTAAGTTTTAGAAAATATGGGTATATGTCTCAAGAGTGAACGATCTAAGAAAAAAAGTGAGCAAAGGCCAGTATACAGAACTCAGCTGACATTCTAAGGACTGGAAAGTCTGGGACATTTGAATCCTTTTGCTTATGAATTTTGAGGGTAAACTTTTGAGTTTATGTAAATTAATTCTGGATTAGTAACGCACCACAAAATGTAACACTAAGTGGATTAAGGAAAATACAACGCTCGTCAATGTAAACAGCAAAACAAATGAAACACTTCAATCTAGGCTGAAATTGTATGGCACCAGTAGTTATTTTTCAAGATTATCCATAAGTCTCTTTTATTTGTAAAAGAAATGAACTTTAATATAGAATTTTACAAAGACCTGAAAATGAGAATTTCAACCATTTTAAGGGGAAAGAAAATAATGTCTCAAAACCATCTGAAGATGGATCAGGTAAATACCATTCAGAAGGAGACCCACACTAGGCAGCCTCTGCACTGGTCGGATGAGAAGTTCAACAAGGCTTTGCCGTCCACATTCCGGCTTAGCTTGGTTTATCTGAAAAAAATGAATATATTCCATAGTGAAAGAAAGTCTACATAGCCTAGATAGCTTACATCCTACCATCCACAACAATCGCAATAAAAATTAGAAAGAAGTGAGCTGGCTTACATCCTACCATCCACAACAATCGCAATAAAAATTAGAAAGAAGTGAGCTGGCAGTCGCTTTGCAGAATATTACTGTGATTATCTGTTTTCACACAAATAATGTGTACGGATTTTTATTTTTAACCAGACAATCTCCTATGAGAATTGCACATGTTAGATGTATGCATGTTATCTGCACGGGCAAGTTAAATGAGAAAAAAATATGGTAATCTTTCGGGGTCTAAAAATTAGGCAATAGTTCATAATTAACACAGAAAATAAGTTCCACTACAAAGTTCCCTTTAAATTTCTTTAACATCTATGCCATTTGTAAAGTAAAACAAAAATTTTGCTGAAAAATTTTCGTATGAAAGCTAAAACATGCAGTTCTCAAAGTACATATAAAATTCTTATTTGTCCACTTATTCTTGCTACCTCATGTCAAACTATCAGAAGCTAAACATGAGTACAACTTTCAGATACTACTAAAATTAAGGTTATTATTTACATACAGGGATATATTTTTTAAGGTTATAATTTCAGTTTTAAGAAAATTTCTTCAGAAATGTTGCCTATACTTTCATTTAAAAAATATATACAATACCTTCAGAAAAGCATGAAATCTTGGTTTCTGTTTTTCACATTTAATAATTGTTTCCTTGCTCATTTCAAAGAAGTTTACAAAAGGAGGATAGGTTTTTATCAAATCCTTTGACTAGAAAGGAGAGGGGCGAAATTAGTTATTCGTGTGAACTTTGAAGTCAAAGAATCATACTTAATTGACACTGGTTACAAAAAAAAAGTTTAAAGAAGTTTCTTCAAATTAAATATTGATATTAATTTCATAAATCAATAAAGTGTTAACTATTAAACACAAATCATCAATTTGGACACATAGCCTAAAACATGAGCAGCATATAAAGAATCAGAAAGAAAAAAAAAGTATATTAAAGCTATTTTAATGATTTAAACACAACAAAGAAAACTGTTAAAATTTCTATGTATACATGCATTCAGAATATAAGCATTCAAGCTGAGCTCATGGACAGAGCGCCCAAAAACAGGGAGATCTTCACTGGAGGGTTCAAGTCACTACCAAAAGATCAATTTATATGACACAAAAACGTAAGAGGAAAAAAGTCCTGGCAAATGAGGACACTGATGAAAAGAAAATATAGAAGTGATGAGCTTAACCAGCCAGAAAAACCATCTTAAGAAACTATGTGGCAAAGCAGTTGTTTCGTAGGTGCACTGTTGTTTTTATTCAAAGTACTAACAAATCCTATTCAAACAAATGAACTACAGTACTACTTTACAAACTTTTTCTTTCATAAACTTAAACATGTGATGTTTATCCTAGTAAAGCTTTACTCATAAAGAGCATAAGAAGCTGATTAGAAGCTTCTACACTGACCACTATGAAAACAAAATAAAGAAATTAACTAAAAGAGAAAAAAAATTATTATAAAAAATTTCAGAAACAAAATTAATCAGTGGCCATTTATAAATCACAAACATTAGCACAGTATGACAATTAACGTCCCTCAAGACGATCTTGGCTATCAAGAAAACGTTACATTTAGAAAGGAAAACAAAAACACCACCAATACTTCTGTCATCACAGGAGTCTAGAGCGAGGGCTACATGGTGGAGGGGACCTGGGGGAGGGTTTGTAAAACAATGAAAGAATCTTTT